CGTGATGAGATAGAATGAATTCCAAAACATACTTTAGGAACAATCCTCTGTGTGAGTTTTGCGCTGATAAACTATAGCCATTCTGTGCAGTGAACCCAGGGACACTGAGCTACCCCATCCCTTTTCATTYGAGTCAGGCCTTGCTAAATTGCTGGGGCTGGTCTGTACTTTCTATCCTCCTGCTTCAGCCTCCTGAGTCACTGGGATGTGCCACTCACTGTGCCGGACAGCATTTCACTTCAGGATGGTGGTCCTATGAGAGGACACTGCCTAGTGCTGTTTGATGTCCTAACTGAAGGACTCTGTGACGTCTGCACAACAGTGCCAGCTACACATCTCCGTCACAAGTTCACTGCTGAGCAGTACATGACTGAACACAGCTGGATTATTGTGTCCACATGGGTTGTTGTCACCTTGATTTCTGACTTCTCTAGTGCAGTGTGACATCTCACCAAAGAGGTGGATAAGGATAAACCAGAGCTTGACTTTGGGTGTGAGAGAAGGTATTGGGGCCACGGTTGGGACCCAGAATGAACACTTGTGGAGTGCCTTTGAGACCACAAAGAGGTAGTGTCAGGGCCACTGTTGGACTAGCAGGTCTGGGGCTCAGAATGGAGTGCACAGGACAACAGGGCACCCCTGGTGGTGTTACCACTGTTTACCCGTGTTTACCTTGCTTCCCCAATGTTGAAGTATAGCACCAGAGAAGGCTTTATTAAAGGACAGCAGAAAAGACTTTTCTCCCTGGAGGAAGAAGGTGACCCTAGAGGTGGAATCCTTGGAAGGGCAGATGTCTTCCCCTTTTTATAACTAAGGTCTTCTTTCACCTTTCCCTCATTCCTGTCCTCTGTTCTGTTATCTTTCAGTGATGGAATGTAGGTGGGAAGGCCCAGAGGGTGGGGGACAAGTGGGCCTAAGGAGTCATCTGGGAAGGAAGGACTTTTGGATTGGCTTCTCCATGTTTGCTGGGTGCTGCTTCATTAACATTTCAATTTCCCAAGTGCTCCTCTGCTTTCCTGGGCTCCATTCTGTTATCCTTATTAGACCSGATTTACCTAACTACACTAMCTACCTACCTATCTTTAAATCTGGCTTCAGTGGCATGCCAGGCTCAATTCAAAATTGTCTAGAACACCGTGGGCTGGCAGGAGGGAAGGGGGTCCCGTGAGGCGCGGGCCAGGGGGACCCCACGCAGGCTACCTGGGATCCTTCTGGGGGGCTTGCCAGGTGTGCGACATCCAGAAGAGCGGGCTGGTCCCTTCTTTGCGGCCACCTAGGCGCAGACGGGACCCTTGGGCAGCCTCCAGTCCATCCCCTGTAAGCTGAGTGAGCTCTGGACGTTGGCCCGGCTGCCCCATCCAGGAGGGCCGGCGAGAAACAAGACCAAGACACTGGTGCTGTCCCGCTGCGCAATGCACAAAGACGCCCAGAGTCACCCCAGAACCCAGGCTGCAGCGCGATGGGGGCGGAGCGTCCTGCCGCCGGAAGGGGCGGGGCCTGGGCAGTGTCCCGCGTCCGTTTCCGCGCGCCCTTCTGCCTCGGTGGTCGGTGCAGCAAGCCCGGGGCGCCATGGGGTGGGGGGCGGACGCCGGCTGCACCCCGCGCCCGCCCATCCGCCGGCGGCCCGCGCCCGAGCGCCGCGTGGTGGTCGTGCTCTTCCTGGGCCTGCTGCTGGACCTCTTGGCCTTCACGCTGCTGCTGCCCCTGCTACCCGGGCTGCTGGAGAGCCACGGCCGCGCGCACGTGAGACCCCCGCCCGTCCTGCCCCGCGCCCGCCCCGCGCCCGCCCCGCGCTGCCCACGCGCCCACCCAGCCCCGGCTCCTTGTCCCCAGGACCCGCTCTACGGCTCGTGGCAGCGCGGCGTGGACTGGTTCGCCGCGGCCATCGGGGTGCCGGCGGAGGAGCGCTACCACAGCGTGCTGTTCGGAGGTAGGCTGCCCGCGGCCCTCCGCGACCCCCAGGCCTGYCCGGGCGCGCGGGCCGCCCCTGACCTGTTCCTGTCGCTCAGGTCTGATCGGCTCGGCCTTCTCCTTCCTGCAGTTCCTCTCCGCGCCGCTCACCGGGGCCGCCTCCGACTCCCTGGGGCGGCGCCCAGTGATGCTGCTGTCCCTGGTACGTTCCTCGAACCAGGTGCCCACTGGGTGGCCCTGCCTCCTCCCGCCCACCCAGCAGCCGCGGGATGGGCTTGGCTGGGTATGGGCAAAAAAGGGGTGGCTGTGGGTCCCACCTCGCCACGGTTGGCCCTGGAAGGCCGCTCCTGCCACCGGGGGCACGGGGGGGGGGGGCTGGGGCGGGGCCCAAGGAGCGTGGCCTGGGCCTGCTCGCCCCCTCGCGGCCCCTCCTGGCCACGAGTGACTCCACCTGCCCTGCCAGGCGGGTCTGGTTGCCTCCTATGCAGTGTGGGTAGCATCCCGGAGCTTCGCGGCCTTTCTGGCCTCCAGGGTGATTGGGGGCATCAGCAAGGGGAACGTCAGCCTCTCCACAGCCATCGTTGCTGACCTGGGCTCACCTCCAGCCCGCAGCCAAGGCATGGTGAGTGCACAGGCCTGGATGAGGGGGCCTGGGCCTGGGCCTGGGCCTCTCTGCCCAGCTCTAATGGCCTTCTCCCCAGGCAGTGATTGGAGTGGCCTTCTCCTTGGCCTTCACACTGGGCCCCATGCTCGGTGCCTCCCTGTCTGTGGAGATGGCACCCTGGCTCAGCCTCTTCTTCGCAGTCTCCAACCTGCTCTTCATCTTCTGCTTCCTGCCAGAGACGCTACCCCCAGAGAAGCGCGTAAGCTGGAGGTTGGGTCCCATGGAATGTTCTCTCAGTCTGTGTCACTGTCTGGTGCCAAGAGAGCTGTGCTGCCCTCTTTGGTGTCTTGGGGCCTGCAGTGCTGTTCCTTAAGCTGGTAGGCCTCTCCAACTCCCCGCAGGCACCCTCCGTCGCCCTGGGCTTCCGTGCTGCTGCTGACCTGCTCAGCCCAGTGGCCCTCCTGCGCTTTGCAGCTGTTGCTCGAGGCCAGGACCCACCTGCCAGAGACAGTAAGGAGCCTGCCCTTCATACCAGGGCTTTCCAGACCTTGGCTGCCTGGTCCGAGGCCCACGTGCGCCCCCTGCTGCCCTGCAGAGCTTGGCAGCCTGCGCGGCCTGGGCCTGGTCTACTTCCTCTACCTCTTCCTGTTCTCGGGGCTGGAGTACACACTGAGCTTCCTGGCGCACCAGCACTTCCAGTTTAGCAGGTGGGTCCCACTGAGCACGCCCTGCCTCAGGGTTCAGTTCCCCCCAGCAGCCTGCTGCCCTCCGCCCTACCCCTGCCCCACTTGGGCTTCAGGCCCCCAGGCCGAGGGCTGGACTCACCCTCTGCCTCCCAGCCTGCAGCAGGGCAAGATGTTTTTCTTCATCGGTCTCACCATGGCCACCATCCAGGGCACCTACGCTCSGCGAATCAGCCCTGGCGGGGAAGTGGCAGCTGTCAAGCGGGTAGGGGCTTCCCCTCCAGTGGGTGGTAGGTGGTATCCTGGGTTCTGTGGGTGGGCAGCAGAGCTGGTCTTGAAGCCATGTGACCACCACAGGCCCTGCTGCTGCTGGTGCCAGCCTTCCTTCTCATTGGCTGGGGACACTCACTGCCCGTGCTAGGCCTGGGGCTGCTGCTCTACTCCTTTGGTGAGTGGCCCTGCAGGGCTGGAGGGGGAGCCCCATCCCTGTCCTCTGGGCTGACAGATGCCTCCAATGTCCCCACCAGCCGCTGCTGTCGTGGTGCCTTGCCTGTCCTCCATGGTTGCCAGCTATGGTAAGTCCTTCCAGGGCCAAGGACACCAAGGTGAGAGGTGACTGGCAGGCACCTGATGAGGTCTCTCCCCGCAGGTTCTCCAGGACAGAAGGGCACCGTCATGGGCACTCTGCGGAGCCTGGGTGCCCTGGCCAGAGCAGTGGGGCCCATGGTAGCTGCCTCAGGTGAGGGCTGTGGGACAGCATTCAGTGTGCTGTGTGACCCCTCGGCTACCCAGTGCTGCTCTTGGCTCCCCACTTGGTCTGACAGGGAGTAGGGGGGTGCGGGGGTCCTCGGTCCTGGGGCCCCGGGTGAGCCTGTCCAACTCTCCACAGTGTACTGGCTGGCTGGGGCCCAGGTCTGCTTCACCGTGTGCTCGGGGCTCTTCCTGTTCCCTTTCCTCCTCTTGCTGAAGCTGAGACATCCAGCGCCCGTTCTCAAGGCCGAGTAGCTGAGCTGCGTGGCTCACACGGGGCCACCCTTGCTCTAAGTGGGAGCCTGGACCAGAGCCCCTGCCCCCAAGTCTCTCCCTTCCCAGTCTAGGAAGAGAGGCTTGCCCACCCCGGGGTGGGATGCGGCGAGTCTGGGCAGCCTTACCCTYTTCTCACTCCAGAGGCCCAGGCAGGGTTGGTGACTCCAAGAACATCAAGTTTTCTGTTCGTTCCTGTCATTGGTGGTGTTGGCCACTGCCTAGGCTTCTTAATGACCAATAAAGCACCTATTTTCTACCAGGTGCCTTTCTGTTCTGCCCCACCAGCCACCGCCAAGAGCTGAAACTGCAGCTGGGTGGCTCTTGGTTAGGACAGAACACAAGTGTCCCAGAGCCTGTGTCCTCCTCAGCAGATGCTTGGGGAGTCAGGCACGGACCCAAGGCTGTGGGTCAGTCCTGCTGGCAGACAAGAGGCAGAGCCTTAGGCTGTTGCTATTCCTGACCCCTCTTTATCAGATATGGCCACGCTTCTGTTCCTATTCCAGTGAGGCTTGGTCTATTCACATTTGGGGGACAGACTGTCAGGACAGGCTCATGTGCTCAGTGCCCTGTCCAGCAGCTTCCAAATGCCACCTCAGGTTCCCCAGGGAGGCCCAACAGGGGCACTAAGTTAGATGCATGTTCCCAGTCCACAGCTGCAGGGAACAGCTGACTGAGGCAAGGGATCACTAAGCCCCTGGGTTCACAGACGGGCCTGGGGGGGGGGGTGACACGAAAACTTGGAAATCCTACTTTAAGGCAAGAAAAAGACTCAGACAGAAACTGCTTAAAGAGYTTATTTGTGAGTAAAACATGTTACAATGAGGAAAGGACACACAGGCGTCTGCATCGTGAGTGCAACTACGTTTCTCATGTTGTGATACAAAGAATTAGACTACAAAAGTGAAAACTGAAGGTCACTGCGTATATGGGGCAGGGAGAGGGGGTGAGAAGGGACAAAAGGCAGGGTCCAGGACGAAGGTGGGAAACTTCATGCCACCTTGGCAGCAGGCCCTGGGCCACCCTGCCACCAGCCTCGGGTCCCGCTCAGGCACGGTGTTGGTGGGGTTGTGGGCATTCAGCCCACCATGCTGAAGATGTGGCACCGGTGCTGCCCGCCGCTCCCTGGTGGGAGACCTCTGGGCCCCTTGGCAGGCACCCCACAGCTCCTGACACCAGCCACCTTTGAGGGCTTGCCTAGCCACCCACTGAGCAGCCTCTAGCCCTTTTCCAGGGATGAGTTAAGTGAAGATTGACAGYAGTATTGACAAAGGAGAGAAGGATGCAAGAGGCCACTGAGTCAAGACTTCTGTCTTGAGTTCACTTTCATCAGAACCTGGGCCTCTTGTAAGCTGAGTTAGGGTGGGAACAGCCTGCCATCGGTTCTGAACCCCACACAGGCAGGCAGTGCTCCCTGCAGTCTGCCAGAGGTCCAGAAAGAAAACTAAAGTGGTCTGTTCACATTTAGTGAAAAAGGAAGCTAAATTGCAAACCTGCCAAAAGGAAAGACTCTTCTCCCCTCTGGGCATCCTCTTCCCTGTGAATCTGCTTGTGGTGGGGGCTGTCCATCAGCCCATAGRGAGCATAGCACTGGGCATGTGCAGGCCCAGCATCCTGCCCAAACCCACCTCTTCAAGGCAGCCCTGGGGCCACGGGGTGGGCACAGGAGTGCTGCACAGCACCAAGGCTGTGTGCAGGAAAGAGGGAGGTCACTGAGCAGGTGACGCCAGCAAAAACCACAAGTCGGATTCAGTCACCTGAGACACCTTAGGGTGAAGAGGAAGCCGAGCAGAGAGTTATTTCACAACAGGAAGGATGAAGTGGTCAAGGTCCAGGGGGACAGTGCCAGAGCTGGTAGAAGCCTCTGGTGCCTTCCAGCCAGGACCATGACTTAGAGGCCCATCTCCCCCAGAACCTGAGGCGGGGGGGGCGGGGGGCAGAGTGCACACGTGGGTGGTCAGCACCTGTCTGCATGGGGCTGGGCACAGGCGGGAGGGGCCTAGCTAGGTAGAGGGCTTGGCTTTTCGCATTCCATTACACAAGAGGACAGAACACAGACATAACCAGGGACTCTGGCAGATTCAGGGCTGCTTCAGACAGGACAGTGCAGGCCGGGCCTTCAGGAGTCACCCCTCTTCTTGCTCTTCTTCAGGAAGGAAGGAGTGCGGAACTTCTTCTTCTTCTTAGACGGGGACTTGCCTGGAGACCCGTCGCTGCCGGGATCCACAGCAGACCCCTCCTCGGCAGCTGGGGGTGCTGTCTCCTCAGCTACTGGGGCTGAGGCTGGCTCAGGGTCAGCAGCGGGGTCTGGGGTAGGGCTTGGGGGACCCTGGGCTTCCTCCTCCTCCTCTAGAGTCGAGAAGCCAAGTGCTTCTGAAGGCTCGTCGGGGGACAGGTCAGGTAGCATCGGCTTGAAGGTGGCAGCATCGCTGTCGTCTCCGGGAGCCGGCTCCTGCAGGAGGTCTGGCAGCAGGGTGGGAGTGGGAGAAAGGCTTTAGGGCTCCTGCCTGGTCGCCAGCTGCCTAGTGTCAGCAGAAGGAGCGGCCACTCAAGGGACTCTGCGTTTTCCAAGACAAGAAGCTCTAACTAGACCTTGTCTACCTTAGCTGGGTGAAGCTAACCTTAGAAAAGGTCTGTCTCCAAGGATGTCTGGCGCCTCCGATGGGGAGCATCTCAAGCTTCCTGAGGAGCACAGCCTTCATGCTGAGCTCTGGCCTAAAATTATGCCTAGAATTGGTTCCACAACATCTGGTCTTCCCCAAGGGCAGCCAGGAGAGAACCATGAGCGAACCCCAGACCCCAGGAGCACAGACCTCCAACAAAACAGCCATTTAGGCTGGAGAGTGGAAAGAAAAATGAACTATATGGGAAGTTATAGACAACAATAACAAAATCAAGCCACCCTCACAATCTGAATAACTCAACAGGAAAGAGCAAAATATCACCTGTCTCCAGAAAGCCTAAGTTTGGCTGGTTTCCGTCTACCCACATGCCTACACCCACCCCAGGGACACCAGTGTTGGAGGTTTTACATAGTCTACAAAGTAACAAGCAGCTGCATGTTAGGCAACACCAAACCACTTAGTACTCAGAAGTCAAGCACAGCTCAGGAYGGGGAGCTAAGCGGGGCTGGAGAGGCCTGGCCACACATGTTCCAGGCCYGACACTGCTGTAGCTTAGGGAGCAGGGGGTGCCCCACAGTCCACCCTACTCGTTGCCCTCTTCCCTCACTCCACGCCACACTCAGAGCAGGAGGGAAGGCTGGGGGTGCAGGCACCTCCCCACCCAGAGGGATTAGGGCTCCCTCTGCCAAGCTCATAGCAGCTAATGCTCCAAGATAGAGGCCCCGGCATGCACTCTAACTTTCCATCATTTGACAAATGTCACATTTCTTAAAAAGTATTAATACCCTCTTCAGCTCACTTCAAATTGCCAATGCCAGTTTAAACACAGGTCCAAATAAACAGGACTCCATGCACCTAGTGGAAGAACCCACCTGGCAGAACCCCATCTGCATTTACATCTGACCCAACCATCAAGAGAGATTCTCAGAGGATGAACTTTAAAACTCCATTTTTAGACCCAGGCTGCTCTGAGCAACACTGTGCAGTGTGTGGCGGCCCCAGACAGTCCATCCCACCGTCCATGCAGGCCGCTGCCCTGCACAGTGCTCAGGTAACTCACTCATGGGGAGGCCACTGAAGGGTTGGGTACAAAAAAAAGAGGGCCTCTGTTTTTGTTTTGAATAAACAGAAAACAAAACTTAATAAACAACAAAGAAGCAGGAGAACGAGGCAAAGCAGAGGCAGGGGTGTGAGAGCAGAGCGCCAGGCGCGGGCAGTACTTACTAGGGCAGCAGGTACTCTTTAGCACATCCAGCTCCTGTTGAAAGGCGGCCGCGAGAAAGAGAAGCACAGGAGAGAGTCTATGCACTCAGTCACAGCCACCGGGTTCCACAAGAAAGGCCGAGCCACTCTTGTAGGACACAGAACGGGGAGGGAAGCCACAGGCTTCACGGGCGACACAGATGTACGAGACTGAGACACAGACGTGTCAGATCACACACCACGGACGTGAGACAGTCCGAGAGGCGAGCAGGGTACACACAGCCTCTCGGCACCTGCCTGGTGTGGCAGGTCAAGCATCCTGCAGCCCGACAATGGAAGGCACTCAGGTGCCCTCTCGACATGACRAAGGATGGTAAGTAGGCAAGCAACGGGCAAAGCTGGCACGAGAACCGTGGTGGGTCCCACCCCTGAAGTTGCCCTCCCACGATCATAATGGCTGGACTCTGTTCTGCCTCAGGTTACCCAGCACAGAACAGATGGSGGAGGAGAAGCCAGGGGAACTCCAGAGCTGGGTCAGGCCTGCACACTTCTTTATTCAGGTTAACAGAACTAGTGCCACAACTAGGTGTCAGTGCACAGGCATGCACCCTCCCACATCAGGGCCACCGCACCCCCGCCTCCACCAGAGCTCACCTTCTTCAAGCTTGACAGGGGTGCTGGGGGGAGTGTGGGGCACAACCGACTGGTCTGGAAGGCTCTCTTCCTTCTGCTCTCTCGCCTCATCCAGATTGTCTGCAGGTACACACAAAACAAGAACATGGTGCATGGGACTTGCAACCCCAGGACCCTCAGCCTGCATTGGGGTTTGAAGTTTACAGGTGTCCCACAAGAGCTCATGTGCTGCAGATATGGTCCCTGGCTGATGGTTCCTCAGGAAGGCAGGGAAGCCTGGGTGGAGGAGGAAGGTCCCTGCGGGACATGTCCTTGATGGGGATATCGGGAGCCTCCATCTCTCTTCCCTGCCTCCACAAGGGCAGGAGTGGTGCTCCACCAGGCCCTCCCTGCCATGACAGCTGCTCACCATAGGCCCAAAGCAAGGGAGCCCACCAACCAGGGACTGAAACCTCAGGAACCACAAGCCCAAGGAGACCTCTCCCCCTTCTAGGTGTCCTATGCACCAGGTAGGAGAGAGGCACAGCGAGGCAAACCGACTAGCCCAACCTCTTGAGCAGCAGACGGCCTCAGAGGTCATGCTGGCTTCCCAGGGCGTGTTCTGGAAGAGCCACAGCAGGGCTTTGTGTCTGCCAGCTTTTGGAAAAGGATCAAGAGACTGAGTGTTTATTTGAAGTTTAACCAATCTTGGGTACAAAGTTAATTTCTATTCTTATTCACAAGAAAACCTGCCAGTGTCCCTGCGACAGACTGAAAAGCTAGACCCACCTAACCTCTGTGGAGCAAGTGGCCGGCAGCTTCACGGCCTCGTCCCACTCACCACCTCCCAGTTCCACTCACCACCTCCCAGTGTCATGCCACCACGACTTTGGTCTTGATTTCTTACGCAGAACATTCTTAAAATAAAGTAAAATAAAGTAAACTTGATAACTGCAATGATTTTTCTTTCTTTTTCTGAAATCCACTGATAAAGCAGCAAAAGGAAACAAAACTGCATGAATTAAAACCCTGGGTTCAGAAACCCCTGCCTGTTTCTCACTTAGAAAAAATAGTCCGTGCAACCCTGTTCCTCARACCTCTCATCCACTCTCTGACCGCAGACCCCTCTCCCAGGCCAGCTGCTTCCCGGCCAAGGGCACTGCTGCTTTCCAGAAACCAAAGGCCTGAGTGTCTCCTCCCTGCAGGACTAAAACCTTGACCAAGAAGAGKTGCTGGCCTCTGAGCCCCAGTTTCCAGCCACATGTGCCCTGCTCCAGCATTCCAGGAGGCAATGGGAGGACTACTTCTTTGTTAGTTCTCAAAATTTTTGGTTCCTCTTTTCAAAACCTATAGTTGTTGAGCTGGGGATGTGGCTCAAGCGGTAGCACGCTCTCCTGGCATGCGTGCGGCCCGGATTCAATCCTCAGCACCACATACAAAAACAAAGATGCTGTGTCCGCCAATAACTAAAAAATAAATATTAAAAAAAAAAATTCTCTCTCTTAAAAAAAAAAAAAAAAAACCTATAGTTTGGAAATACCTGCTCCTCGAGACTCTGGCACTCAGTTCCATTTATTTTCACATGTTATAAAAGTGTCCAATCATCATTCACAAAATCATGGCGACCTATGTCAGTAAGTCACCAAGAGAAGGAGGCTAGGCCAGCATGTGGCCCCTTCTGGGCATGGTTTGAGATCATCAGGGTATCAACATGGTCAGTGATCACCCCAGCACAGGGAAACCCTCAGGGTCTATGAGGAAAATAACACATCAGAAATGCCAAGCCACAGAGCCAGGACGGGCAGAGCTGCCATGTTCCTGCAGAGCTCCTTCTCTGCCCCAGGACCCAGCTGCAGGGGTGGGCCCTCCTCTCAGGGTCACCTTGAGAAGGACACAGGATGTCTACTGGCAGAACACTTACTGCGGGGCTGGCCCTTAGGAACCATCAGTATTCAATGTTAGTGATTCTCATGGAGCAGAGGCAGCCTCTTCTCCATGAAGCTGAATCACTGTGCGTATGAAAAGCCGGTGTCGTGGACACTCGGGCAGCTCCCCCACTAACAAGCGGATTCTCCTGGGATCTCTCATCGCTCCACACAGACGGGACCCGGCTGGAAGAACGGCCAGCCCCTCACACCCTAGAGCTCTCTGCACAGCACAGCGGGCCCAACTGCTGTTGGGGCCRCTCCCAGGCAGGACCACCCCAGGTGCAGGGTGCACATGGGGGACGGGGACACGAGTTCTCTGAGGCCACCCCTTCACGGCACTCTTCCCAAATGCRTTCAACTTCTCAAATCCTCGGGAATGTGTGCTGGATGATGTGCAGGCCTCAACAAGGCCACAGTCTGCGCTTCATGCACAGGACTCTCCTCGCTGGGAAGCCTCAAGCTGCTGCTTCCCACTCACCTTCAGAGCCCTTCTGCTTCCGCTCCACCTCCCTGCGGTACTCCTCCAGCTCGCGGTCTGTGAGTGTGTTGAAGGGGTTGGGGCCTGTGGTGCTCACGATGACGTGGGGCTGGTACTCCTTCTCAATGATGGCCTTGGAGGCCGTCACCAGCTCCCCCTGTGGACAGAAGGGGCATGGTCTGCAAGAGCCTGGCCAAGGGGCACACCCTCCTCCCAGGCAGGCTGCAGGCGGGGCAGGGAGGCTTTCCAGGAGCAGACAGACAGCCCAAAACTGCACGGCCAGGGGCCCAGGGCCTAGACTGAGCGTAGCCGTCCGGGGCAGAAGATGTGGAAACACGGTTCAACACTGCCGAACAAACCCCAGAAAAGAGACCCAACCAAGGTCCTTCAGGTTCAAAAGTAAAGGCACCCAGTACGGACCCAAGAGCACGGACCACCCGGAGGGTTCCACCTGCCCACTGACCACAGGAATAGAAAAGGGCCTCTGTGCTGATCACAGTGGGAGTTCCCTTCTCTCATGGCAAGGCCCAAGCATAGGTAAGTCTTGCCCACAGTTTACAACCAGTTCCCAAACACATCCCAAAACAAAATGCCCTTCAACACCAGAGTGTGCCTGAGGGTTTTGGAAAACTGAGCATCTGTGTAAACAAAGCAAAAGCAAAGCACTAAGGCAGCTCCTAGGCCACGTCCCAAGAGGCGGCGGCACAGCCCGAGGGAGGGAGCCATCAGGAGTCCCGGGGAGCTGCTCTGTCTGGGGCTGGCTCTCCAACGCTCTGGGGCCCATTCTGAAAACACTGACAAGAGCTCACACACAGGCGCCTCACTCATCGCCAGCTTCCAAAACCCAGTGAACACAGGAGGACCCTGAATCACACACTGCCAGGCCTGGAGCCTCTGTGCCCGCAGCACTCATCTCCATAAGGGGCACCACCGGAGGCAGAGTGTCCTGGTGGCAGGGCCGGGAGCCCAGTGGGTCTGGGCTAAGTGGCACTGCCAGGCACTCTGAARCACTCCAAGGCTAACCATAACAGAACCCCAGGGAGAAGGGCCTGCTGGAGCAGGGTCTCTACTGCACAGCCTGGAGGCCTRTCACAGCAGGGAGCCCTCCTGCTGCCTAGGCCTGACCTCGGGTTGGTGGCTTTACATTTAGAAGCAACCCTGCCACGGCAAGATAGCAAATTAAATCCTTGTCCACCACTCATTAGCTTTGGCTGAGACAGGCCCCTTCCTGTCCAGCAGCCTCAGTTTCACTACTGGCTGGAGGGGTCTGCTGGGCTGCCAAACACRGTGACCACTTCAAATGGTGATGCTCCTCAGGCAGTGACCCTCTGGCTCTGAGGGAAAGCAAGGCCGAGCCTGAGGTGCAGGACAAGTGGGCTGAACAATTAGGGAGCGGCTGCCTGGAGCCTCCTCCCTCTCCAACTGCAAGTGACCTACTAAGGACTCCAGCAACACAGAGGCCCAGTAACTGTGTACTTGACTGAGACATCTGGGCAAGACAAAGGCTCCAGCCCTAAAGCTCTGCATGCCTGGGCTTGAGGCCTAAGCTCTTTGAGCTTTAGCTTTTCATCTGCAAGGAAGACCAGGACAGAGCCAAAGGGATGCTCCTAGGTGGGCTATGAGCATGCTGGGAGCTCAGCACAGGGTCAGTGAGTCCAAGAGGTGGGCTCACTGCCCTGTGCACTCCTACGCTACAGCACGAGGGGAGGGTGCACACACAGACCACGCAGTCCCTTTCCTAGCTGGACACCTTGCAACACAGACCTTCACGCCTCTGTTCCAGCTACTCGATCCACTAGCAATAAAATTCAGAAGGTGGCAACATCATTGCAGGTCCGCACTGAGATGCCCAAAGGCTCAAGCTGAAGGCGCCTCCAACTGGGTACAGGGTTCCTTTCTGAAATGATAACTACTACCTCGTGGAAGGTGGCCTTCACAGTGTGAATGGCTGTCACCAGTGAGGGAGGAATTAAAGGCAAAAGAAAGTTCTTCAGAAAGCCCCAGCTTCCCAAGTCCTAAGGGCTGTTCCTCAGACAGGAAGCAGAGTCTATATGTTGGGGGGTAGTTTCCGGGACACCGTCCTCGCTGAAGCAGCTCCCTGCACCAAAGGAGCATTTTGAGGTTGACATAAAAAGTAGTAGAATAAAATAATAGCTCCAGTAGAGGACATCCATGGAGTCAAAGCACATTTTTGCCATAAAAATGAAATATATCTCATCAGGATGGGGGTGAAGATCAGAACACAAATGTGAACTTCAGAAATGGGGAGGTAAGAAGCACAAATCTCGAGGAAGAGTCCACGTAAGTTGGGAGTGTGGGCAGCGCAGTGGTGGGGCAGTAGCCGAGCAGGCACGAGGCCCTGGGTTCCATCCCCACCACTGGGGCAATAAAGGACAGGAGTCCACATCTATTCAACTGGGGCCAGCCAGCCAGGCGGCTCTGTTGAGACTGGGGACCCTCCATCTATCTGTGAAGCACCCAAGTGACTATGACGTGCAATGTTTGAGGACCACTGGGGCAGAGCATAGCTGTAACTAGACGACACACCAGGCAGAAGCACATCCTGGGACACGTGCCGGCCTGCCTTTTGGGGAGCTGAACACAACACAGATGAAATCCTTTAAAGGCACCACAGTGCCAAGAGGACAGTACCTCAGTGACTGGCTGTGGCCTGCTTTACGTGCAGGACGCACTCTACCCAGGCGCCTGGCACATCCACAACGTGCTGCTAACCCACAAGAACACCACAGCTCGTGGCCCAATGTGTTGGCTCGAAACACAAGCTGCCAGGGAACCCATCCTTCTCCCCCCTCAGAACCCCTCCAAGAATGGTAGATGGAGTAACTTCTAAGCACGGGGAAAGCAGAACCCACTGCATTAGTACATGAAGCCACATGTCATGACCAGGGGTTCCAGGAGGAAGATGGCACCTTGGCACAAAGCTGCTTCTAGCTGAACTGGAATGCGAGTGAGACTTGCATCACACTGAAAATGTTACAGCGGAATACAGAGCCCAAGCTACGTCCTCCGAATGAAGGCCAAACACTGAAACTCTAGACACGGTGGGCAGCCACCTTCCATCATGGGCACCAAGTTCTTCAGGACCCTTACTACCTAGGATTGTCTACCTCCAGGACAGGCTAGATAGATACCCACGCACACAGAGATCAAAATGTGGGGCTTCAGATTTTCATGAATTTCTCCCCTGCAACAGTAACAAGTTTTCTTTTTTTTCTTTTTAATATTTTTTGGTTGCCAATGAATTTTTTTACTTTATTTGCTCCTTCATATGTGGTGCTGAGGACCGAACCCAGGGCCTCACACATGCTAGGCAAGCACTCCACCACTGAGCCACAACCCCAGGTACTCAAGTTTTTTTTAAAGGTAAAAATAAATGCAATTTTATCAATGAAGGTTGACAATGACTGTCTTGCTTTTATTTCCCACTTCTTTGGGGCAGTGATATAATTCAACAGCCTTGGGTTCTATTCTCAAAAAAAAAAAAAAAAAAAATCCATTCCTCTGCAATGACCCCTGATGGCTATGGTCAAAGATGAACAAGCAAGGGGAGGGGCTGTGGGGGAGCTGTGGCTGCCAGCAGAGCCCTGACGAGACCATCTGCAATGGGCATCTTGTGAAAGGTAAACTTTGGAGCCCAAAGGCATGCACTGACGAGTCATGTGCAGAACTTGAGCAATGCAGCCACTGTCTCCTTCAGACTGGCCACTTCCCAGCAATATCTCAATACTGTACAATGCTTCACACCCCTGTTTTAATTAAGGAACAGAGTAGGCAAAACAGAGTCTGCTGAAATCTCATACATGATTTAGAGGTCTCTTTCAAGCTATATCAGAAACAAAGACAAGGTCTCAAGCGGGAGGTGGTGGGGGCAGGAAAGGGAGAAGAGCACCGCGGACTGCCAGGGCATTGAGTACCTTTCTAAAATAGAGAGATTTAGCAGGGCTAAAGGTCTGCTCTGTAAGCTCGAGCCCTTCGATAGTCTCCGTACAGTCAGAGAGGGGTGCGTCCTGCAACAGTAAACTGAGTCATCAGAGCACACCAGGCCTAGCTTACAACCACCCRGGCAGGGGGAAGCCAGCTAAGAGCATGCAGCAGGGACAGCGGTCAACAGTGAACGCAGCAGTGGTGACAGTGGTACGTGCAGACACCAAACATGAAACGAGGACCACAGCTGGCCAGATTCAGAAAATGCAACAATCACCATCTACCCCTGAAGAGTCAGGTTTGAAAGCATCAGGTGGCATCTTCATATTCTAAGATAACTACTTACACAATTATCTTCAATGTGCCACTAAGTACAGTTATTTTACAGAAATGCATGTAAATGTGGACCACATTTACCAGGCCTCCCTCCGCAGCCCAAGCAGTGCTATGTTGCAGATGTGACTTGTTCCAGAACAAAGGCCCTTCAAACCCTCCTTTTTCTAGCACTTACACAGCACCCTGCTAACCCCGGAGCTGGCCATACGCGCCCTCACATAGGCATGCACTACAAGGAGGGGTCTGCAGGGATGGGCACAGCCCTCTGCATGCTGATGCTAGGTCTAGAACTCAAGGGAAGTGGCTGGTCTACTTCTTATCAAGAGGATTCATAGCAGAGATAACTGGTTGCCTAGGATACTCACCTCATAAAGTCATTCTCTCCCAAGTTAATAACAACTCTGGAGCAGACAGAGTCACCACCCACTAATACGAGAGACATTCTGAGCTCTCACCTGGACGAGGCTTCTGTCCATCACCACACCACACAAAACCTGGGACTGAGGGCCAGCAGTTTTAATGTCCTGCAAGTTCTGCTCTCGGATCTAAGGAAGGGAAGGAAAAGAAAAGCACATAAGTAGCACAAAGAGGTCATGCTGTGGCTGCCAGTCATGTTGCTTGTGCACCTGGACCACTACCCCCAAGGTGGTCTTGTGCTCCACCCAGCCCAGATGGCAGGACGCCCCAGGAACACCTGCCTAATGGCACTGGCCCACCCTGCTTAGCAGGGTGTAGGTCAGCAGAAATGGAGGGACTAGTCCCAATTCCCACACATTCCAGAAGGCTCCAGCAGGGCCCCAGCCCTTCACTGTACCCAGTGACCTGGGGGAATACATTGGGGGTTGTGAACACTGACAATCTGACAACCCACATTCTGACCAGTGCAGTTTATGAGCCTCTGAATGAGTCTGAAAGGCAGAACAGCCACCCACTCTTGCTGGATCAGGCTCTGGGGCTTCTACTCCAGACCCGCTACTGAGCAAGCATCACCCCGACACTCCTCAGGCCCCAGATGTCTGCTGCCCCTGCTCCACACTGATGGCAGAACGCAGCCTCAGCATGAGGAGGTGACTTCACTTCCCCAGTGGGAGCGCAGACTGCCCTGCTGGAAGCAAGCACCCCTCTGCTCCACAGCAGCCAGTATCCCTTCCAACCCTGCACCCAGCTCCCTCCAAGTGCCCAGGGCAGCACATACCTTGTTCCTCATCTCCTGGACCTCTTTTGGGTTAGTGTTCAATGGGACAAACAGGTTAGGGACAGCAGAGGTGGAAGTTCTAGGTCCATCCTCTTTAGTCCACTGCAATATCAAGAACAGTCGAGAAGTCAGGGTCATGACAGTAGTCACAACGCCACAGCATCCGTCTGTCCAACTGACCTCACATCTGCTCATGCATTGAACCTCACAGACGGCTGAACCAATGGCCACGTTCCCTGGGCCACTCTACAGAGCTGACATGGGGGTGAGACGTGGCCACGCAGAAACCACTGAATGGTGGAGTTAGAGGCGTGGCCAGTGGGAAAGCCCACGAGAGCCGGGGCAATCAGGCTAATGACCAGCTGGGTCACGCCCCTCAGAGGCCATTGGTCCACCGCCCTGAGAGTCCCCCAACACCAAAGCCAACTGGAAGCGTGAGATGACAGGATCATGAGAAGCAATGTGACGCAGCCACCGAGGAAGGGCGAGAGTCCGCACTGCAGGCAGAGTGGGCACCACCAGAGTTGTGCGTGGAAGTGAGTGGCAGCACCAGACACACAGCGGCACTGTCCACCAGGGGACGCTGCAGCAGCTCCCAAGCACGAGGTGTGGGGGGGTGACATCATGTTTTACAAAAGAAACCTCTGAGTGTTGCAAAACCGTTCCAACAAAATAAAGCGCCTGGTGAGCCCTCAAAGGCTGCTTAGCCTCAGTGCCTCCTGCTCATCGCTGCTCAGGCCTCCAATCAAGATGGGCTTTGGGTCAGATTCTGACTCCGAGGCGTGAGTAGGCACTGAACACTAACACAAGCCATCTTTGAAAGCAAATGCTGTGCCTTTCGGAATATTTTTGAGAGGCAATAAGATAGCCATAACCATATGACCTTAAGGAAGCAACCAAACTGTCAAAGGCTTAGCCACTGCGAAGGAGTGTGGAATGAGCATGGAGCTGCGGGCACTCACTGACGGTTACCTTCTCAGAGAAAAGACAACTCAGYGTCTTATTATAAATAATTCTAGTCAAAATGTTAAAACAGCCACCTCAGAAACTTGAACCCATTTAAAAAATTAATATGAATTATTATAAATAAAATATACCAACCTGGGAACATTGCGTGGAATTTGTATTAATCCAGGAAATAGGAAACACATATAAATACAGCTGAGCAAGATCCCCTTCGATGCGCTCATTGACTAAAAGGCCTCAAATGACTTTTTTCCATTTTTTTTTTTTAAATACGGGAGATTGACCCAGGGCCTGCACTTGCCAGGCAGGTGCTCCGCTGCGAGCTACACCAGCCTGACTGGACTGCCTCCAGGTGACCATCACAGAGCTCACAGCCATGCTGCCTGCTGTGGGTGCGCTCTGGAGAGACCTGGCAGGCAGCCGGCAGAGCACCCCAGCGGCAGCAGAGAGGGGTTCTGTTTTTAAGCTTAACCATTCTAACCAGTGAACCAAAGAAAGAAAAGAAGGGAGGGAGGGCAGGAGAGGAAGAGAAGTGCTCCCACACTCTGAGCCTGCCACCACGCAGGGTCTTCGCCCACGTGACACAGCTGCTCAGGACCACAGTGGCTCCGCGCCAACTGCATAGCAGGAAAACACCAGAATCACCTGGGGAAGACAAAACCTTTTTTTTTTTTTTTTAAATAAACTTATCAAGTAAAAGCACTGCTGAAGGGGGAAATGTGGCTGTCGGCTTCCTGCTTCTTGGGACACCTGGGCTGCCGACTCTACTGAGCTCAGCATGCAGCCAAGTCTGGCCCCACTGTGCTGCCCCACGGGGGACTCCATCCAGGGCTCTGGAAAGGGCCTCTGCTGCACTGAGGTGTGAGCTGGACAGACTCAAGGGCTGGCCTATGGGAGGGGAAAGCACCCTTGGCAGCAGGACACCAGGGACTCCTCTGAGGGGACAGGAGCCCTGCACAGTGCTAACACTGAAATGAGCCCCTGGCAGCATCTGTCGCTGGTGCCTGCAGGTGGCCTGCGCTGCACTTGGTCATGCCGCACCCCACAGGAGTCCAAGACTCACCACCATGGCCGCCTACTCACATGCAACAGTCCATGCAGAGGGCAGCTGGCGTGAGCCTTCTGAGGCTTTGGGACAGAGGGCAGGGAACAGTGCTGAGAGAGGACAAGAGTCAGCAGAGAACGGGCCAGCGGGCCACAGGGAAAACTGCTTAAGAAAACACTGTGACAAAGAGGGAAGCAAGGGGTGGGCAGCACTGGCGCGCGGGTCAGGCCTCTCAGAGCTGCGTGAGGAGTTAAGAGCCGACACAGCTGGAGTTCAAGAGAGCTCCTGCTTTCACGTTAGCACAGGTGAGTCCTTCAGTGCTCCACTGAGTGGAGTCGGCCTCAGGGGCAATGACTAAAGAGGTGCGTTGTATCTTAAGCAGTTTCAAGCAGAGTATTACTCGAGTTTGAGCTGAGGCATAAAGTGGGCTTTGGCTCAAAAGAAAGGCAAGTTAACAAGGAAGGGTCATGAGTCAATGTGGGTCAGAGGGCAGGGTCCCAAAGCCTCCGAAGCCCCAGCTGCCCAACTTGCTCTACATCATCTAACTATGAACAGTAAGGTAGGCACAGACCAAGCAGTTGGTAATACAGCTTGGCACGCAGACACCGGACGAGAGAGACTGCAGCAAGGGTTTCACGTGATCGTGTGTAATGTTCGTCCACACCTTAGTCTTCGACTTGGGACTGCTTCCATTCTGCCCTTCCTCAGAAGCTTCGTCACCCCGGCCAGAGTTCAGCCATCTTGTCTTCTCTCGCTGCTGCTTCTGAAAACTGTGTCTGAGAGGGGAGCAAGTGCCCGAATCACCGTCACTAGCAAAGGAGTAACCAGTGACACTAGCAGGAACCTCCACATCGCTGTATTTTTTAGATTTCTCTCTTAGAGCAGGGTATCGATAGGGATAGCCAGTCCTGTAGCCCTAGGTCCAAAGAGAAGAAAAGATAGTCAGTGCTCCAGATCTCAGAGCAGGGTTCACTGTGGAGACATCCACAGGCAGAACACACAGCTCTGCAATGTGAATCCTAAGCACATGGCCGAAAAGGCACAGGCTCACCAAAGACAGGCCGCAACGCTGACAGCAGGACCACTGTGCCCGAGCAAACCACAACCACCCAGAAAACCACACAAAGTAGAACAAGAAACTGTCATGCTCACACGGTGGACCGTGGTGAGGAAAGAGAAGGCTCTACTAGCAATGGCACCCACGTGGACCATGCTCACAAACCGACTGCCCAGGGAAACACAGTGGAAAAGGACACACGCTGTCTGGGTCCACTTGTAAAATGCACAAAACAGGCAAAAGCAATCTCTGTTGTAGAGACAAAACAGCAGCCACCTGAGATGGCAAGTAACTGAAAAGGGACTCGAGGGCTTATGCAGTACCAGCATTGCTTTTGATCTGGCTATTGCTTACGTGGTGACTTCAGTTTTCAAGTCGACAGGACTCACCTGCTGCTGACAACTGCACAGAGCAGACTCATCCACAGTCTCAACACTGTGGTAACCACCAGGTAAGACCACACACCACTCATGGCAACTGGTTCTCAGCAAAATTTGCATATGGCACTTAGAGTCCTCCTTCCACGCTGCCCCGCGACCCCCAGCTGTGCCTGCACAGGTGCGTGCCACCTCGTGTCCCTCTGCTGGAGCACCTGCCAGCTGTCCCCCCAGGCAGCAGCTGCAGACAAGGGGGGTCTTCCTCATCTCTCCTCACCAGGGCTTAGCACTTAGTAGATGTGACAGACTTTTTGATGGCCCTCAGCTCCACCTGTGACTGCCCCTGCCCTTCAAGCCCAGATGCAACAACTGCCATGCTTCCAGCCTCTGGCATTTGCAACAGGCAACAAAGAGCGTACAGTCCCACCCTGCTAGCTCTGGAGATGCAAGCCATCATGAATACTGCCGCTGTAGGAAAACGGAGTCTCAGAAGCGGGGTACCCCTCCCCGAACCCATGGAGCCTTATGATGAGAAGCCCGCCCTGGTCAACAGCCCGACTGCAGGCTTGTGAAGCAGAGACCGAGCTGAGTTGCGCCTGGAGCCCCGCACCGCCCCCCAGGAGGCTATGAAACACCAGAGCTATGCCGTCACACAGCACAGGGCTGGCGGTGCCTGGACAGGTGTGCACTCACTACACGTCACAATGCTCAGCAAAGGACACAGGGTGACTGAAGACACACAGGAGCCCTCAGGGGCGGACCCTCTAGCCAGGTGTGGTGGTGYATGACTATGGTCACAGCTACTCAGGAGGCTGAGGCAGGAGGGTGGCTTAAGCCCAGGAGCTCAGGGCCAGCCAGGGCCACACAGTGAGTCCCCGTCTCAGATAACAAAGAACAGTACGAAGTAGGGATGATACCTCCCACGTCAGAAACCGTCTCTCTCTCTGGCTCTGCTCCTCCTTGGGTATCTTTATTACCCATCACTGCTTTGATACACTTTTAAAATCAGCCATCTTCAGGCTGGGGCTGGGATGGGGCTCAGTGGTGGAGCGCTTGCCTCACACAGGTTGAGTCACTAGGTTTCATCCTCAGCACCACATAAAGATAAATACATAAAAAGATACTGTATCCATTTACAACTAAAAAAAATTTTTTTAAATGGCCATCTTCATTAAGGGAGTCATCTTCATTGTGTTCCTCAGACAGGCGAGATCTACCTGCACAGGCACTTTGCCTCCATGAGCAAGCTCTGCTGAGGGGTACTGAGGGATGACTCGGCCACAGAGCACTGCCTGGACACACAGCTCTGTCGACGCCGCCTCTGCCTGCACATGGGGCATCTCCCTGGCTTCAGGGTACAGACTCAGGACCACAAAACACCATTTTATTCTGACAGGGCATTGGTTTTTCTTAATTCTTCCCTTCTAATGCTGTCAAACCAGAATTCTCTAATACTTGATCCTGTGAACAATTTTTTGGCTCATGATTAAAAATATGGGGGTGCTGGGGATGTARCTCAGCAGTAGAGCTTGTGCTTAGTGCCCAGGTCCTGTGGGTTCAACCCACAGAGCATGCACGCGCACACACATGCGCGTACACACACACACACACACACACACACACACAGAGGTAAGCAGATAGACACAAGATATATAGATTTGTTCCTTTTTGGAGGAGCTGAAGTTCTATTTTGCTGTGGAAACAAGTGCGCATTTCTCCTAAGTGTAGACGTTTGAGATGAGACATCTACTACGAAGTGGGACTCTCACCTGCTCTCTACCTGCTCCATCATTAGCAGACAGCACAGCAGCAAATCAGATGCTATAAACACATACCACAGCTATAAACACATACCACAGTCGGCAACTCTCGTCCAGTTCATTTCTTTCTTTCTTTTTCAAAATACCTTCATTTTATGTATTTACCTTTAGGTGGTGCTGAGGATGGAACCCAGTGCCTCACACGTGCTAGGCAAGTGCTCTACCACTGAGCCACAACCCCAGCCCCAGTCTGATGTTCGTTTGTTCTTTCTTCCTTCCTTTGGTACTGAGAGTGAGCCAGGCACACTGAATTCCCATCCCTTTTTATTTATTTATTTATTTACGTTCTTGGTCCTGAGGATTGAACTCAGGGGCACATGACTATAGCCACATCCCAACCCCTATTTTGTATTTTATTTAGAGACAGGGTCTCACTGAGTTGCTTAGTGCCTCACTAAGTTGCTGAGGCTGGCTTTGCACTAAYGACTCTCATATCTCAGCCTCCCAAATTGCTGGGATTATAGGCATGCATCATCATTCGTGGCTTCCAGTTTATTTCTTATAAGCTACACAGAACTTTAATATTAAAACTGCTAATAACGTGCACTTATTGAAGAAACCAAATAAAATACACTTTCTGTAAGACACACTTCACTATTAGCCTTCCTCTTCTATTAAATCAGAGTTAGTGCCTAATTTAGGTTTCACTCTCCACCTTCCAAAATGTCCTGAAAGMACGAGATGAGTAGGTATGCAGATCCTTATCTCCTCTCCCCCTTCCTCATATGACTCTTGGCTAGGAGCGGGGTGGGATGGTGGACCAGGAGGAAGGAACCCTATGCCTGGGCCAGCTCCACACTCCTCACCTCAGGACACTCAGGCCACTTCTTCTCTAGCTGCAGCTTTCCTGAAGGGATACCAACTCTGGCTGCCCCCTCATTCCAAAAGCTTCTTGTACCCGATTTGTTAGCTTTTGCTCCTTTTCCTGCATTCTTTAACCAATTTGGGCCCAAGGCTCCTGCCCTGCCACTGTCTCTGTCCCTCCCACTGTGCCTGTCACCCCTAGATCACACAGTGACCTGAAATCTGTTTGCCACTTCTATCACAGGGCCATGAACTCCTGAGCCAAACACTGCAATCTTCTCAAGATTCCATGCGAAGGGGGTCAGTGAATGTAGGATGCAGAGGTCACGGAAGACTGTTCTGTCATCCCCTCCTCCCTGATGGAATGCAGCTGATGGCGAGGAGTTCCCACGGCGGGGACGACGCCTCACATGCAGCACACTGGCCATCATGGGGCACTAGGATGGGCCTTCCCAAAGCCCACCTGAGAGGTACAATGTGGCATGAGAGGGGCCCTGTGGCAGCACTAAAGCCCCATGATGTTTGGAGGGCTGGAAACTCGAGGACAATGCTGGGATGTGGCTCAGGGGTACAGCACTTGCCTGGCCTGCGTAAGGTCCTGGGTTCACTACTTAGATCTCAGAGAAAAACCCCAAAACAACAACAATGAAAATTATCTSTAGCCATTAAGTCACCAAAAAAACCCTAGGACGGTGGTTTTTTTTTATTTTTTAGTTGCAGATAGACAGGTTTATTTATTTTTATGTGGTACTGAGGATGGAACCCAGTGTCTCACACATGCTAGGCAAGCACTGCCACTGAGCCATGACCCTGCCCCGCAGGACAGAATTCTAATCTGGTTCCAGCAATGACTATTCAGGTCCCTGCCTCCCATGGCTGTCCCCAGCTGCACTCTGGCTGTCTGTGGGTGCTTCTTCTTTTGACCTGGCCAGTCATGTTCCAGCCTATTCTTTGAGGCCATTTCCAAGAGCCACCTTCTACGTACAGTTTCTTCCTTGATCCTTGCAGAAGGACAAGATCCGTCCTCAGCCGCCCCAGCATAGACCTGGCCTGCATGAAGCCAGTGTGGTCTGTGGTCTTGCCCTTGCCATCAATGCTGCAAGCCATCCTGCTTCTGTGCCTTGCTGGTACCATTCTGTGTCCCTGACATAAGTAGCATAGGGTCTCCCACCAATACGACAGGTAGAGAGCTGTGGAACCCAGCAACCAGGCCCCAAGCAGCTACAACTACACAGACACCAGGYTGACAATGTGGCAAGGCCCTCCAGCCTGCCTGTGGACGCTGGCCAGCAGGAGCCTGCGCTCCTGCCCCACCTGCCCCAACACAACATTAGCTGGGAAAACAAAACACCACTGTGGCTAACTGTGATTCAGCCTGCATATTAAAAAGCCTGGCGGCTTCATGATTTCTTTTTTTAATTCTCAAGTTCTAGGTGGACACAATATCTTTATTTTACATTTATGTGGTGCTGAGGATTGAACCCAGGGCCTCGAGCACGCTAGGCAAGCACTCTACCACTGAGCCACAACCCCAGCCCCAGCTTCATGATTTTTGAGGGTGACATTCAGATACATGTAAAAGTAGCCATCTTGCTTGCCTTAAAAAAAAAAAAAAAAAAAAAATCAATGAGCTTTCGGGAAAGAAATTTTCTAATCGAGTGGCAGCACCATTCTTACCAGATTATCAAGCATCCGCATGAGGGCTTCAAATTCCTGCTCCCCAATCTGCCACTTGGGAGGTGATGTAGTGCCTTCCCCCGCCGGAGACCCTGGAGCACGGGATTTGGCCTTGTACTTCCCGGGATCCAGCAGTACTAAGTTGTCTGGCCCTCCTGCACTGGCCAGCGTCCGAACCTTTTCCAAAACAAGCAAACACTATGGTTTGCGTACCATAGAGAGACTCAGAAAAGCAGACGACTATGACACGTACTTGTACAGCTATGCAGGTTTCAACAAAGTGAGCCATCAGTGGTAAGAATTAAAAAAAAAAAAAAAAAGAAGCACTGTGGGCACTGATCCACTGACCCTAACACGACTTTCAGAGTTCTTCTCCAGCATGACAAAGACAATGGGCATTTACACTTGGCAGATAAATAGGAAAACAAAGCACCATTCAGGACCCTCAAGACTTGGAGCCTCACTGGCTCCAAACCTAAGTCAGGGAGAGTGAGAGCCTGGCCTRGAGCAGAGCTCGGGCAGTGTCCCGGCCACGAGTCTGGATGAACCCACCTCTCAGCTCCAGCGTTTTCAAAAAGGGCGTGTAAAGGCAGAGGGAAATAACACACACACACAACCTGCACAAAGTGCCCAACATGGGGCTGAGGCTGGGGCTCAGTGGTAAAGTACTTGCTTCGCATGTATGAGGCACTGGGTTCGAACCTCAGCACCACATCAAAATAAATAAAGATACTGTATGTTCATCTACAACTAAGTAAATATTAAAAAAGAAAAAAGTGCCCAACATGAGGCCTGGCATATACCAGTGCTCCATAAATGCTGACAACTTATGTATTTRAAAAATAAAAAATTAGGAACGAAAAGTCCAGTAATCTTTTGCTAACTTAAATCAGTAAAATGCATTTGTCCTGGCCAAGTTCCAGATTCATGAGCTCATCTTTGGCAAAGATTGCTCAAAGGCTCAGGACCCCTGAAAACACCAAGTGAACTTCACACCCCACAGGACGACCACCCTCACCTGGATTTCACAGGCAACCACGAGGTTATGGATGTAATAGAAAGCCTCCTCCACGCTCTCTCCCACTGACACGAGCCCGTGATTCCGGAGAATGAGAACCTGAGGGGAAGCATGGAGTGGGATGGAGCCAGGCAACGAGACGGACATGCCTCGGAGCGCTTCTTCTTCCCTCCAGGAAAGACCAGGTGCCAGGCCCACTGACCTTACTTCTGGGCCCCAGATTTTTCTGAATCAAAAYCTTTTCCTCTTCATCAACCAGAATGCCATGATAGTCATGATAAGCCACTTCTCCAAGGGAAAGTGCTTCTGGGGAGATGGGCAAGAGGCCGCACTTCATGGCAGAGACCTGGAGAATAAGCAGTCAGTCGTCACCAGGGAAGGAAAAGTCAGCATCAATCTGCAACTGGCTTGCAAGCACTCGCCTCACAGATATATAGAAAGCACACRTTTCCTTGGGGTGAATGAACACATGAACATATGCATAAACAGCACTTCTGGGCTCACTCGGGAYAAGACCTACATCTCTGGAGTTTCCACTGGTTATAGTGCTATATAAGCTGAGACGTATGGACTCAGTGAGCCATGGTCCAGCACAAAGAAAGCCTCATAGGTTCCTCAAAAATAGATGTTCCAAGGGGCACTTAGCCACTGAGCCATATCTCCAGCCTTTTTATATTTTATTCAGAGATAGAGTCTCGCTGAGTTACTTAGGGCCTTGCTAAGTTGCTGAGGCTGGCTTTGAACCTGCGATYTTCCTGCCTCAGCCTCCTTAGCCACCGCATATGGCATAGTTTTATGTCAAGTTGCAAGTAGAAACAAAACACCTGAAATTTAGATAAAACCAAATATACCAAGAGTTTAGGACAATGAGACTGTACAATTTCTCTACATTTATGTAAAATTAAGACTGAAAGAAAAAAAATTTGAGTGTTCACATAGCCCTTACACTTCCTCAAATTCCCCAAAATTGGCCTTAAAATGTCTAATTCTGAAGGTCTTCTATAGACAGCAGCTCTGACTAGACTGACAAGGTCCAAAGATTCGGACACGTACAGCACAGCGGCACAGAGGAAAAGCTCATCTAAAAGACAAAACCACACAGAGTTCCTTTCAGTGGATCCACCTTCATAGGAACTGCCTTACCAAGGAACTTATTCCAAAACCTTCTCTTTTTTCCTTTTTTGAGGCCCCAGGAAGGTCCCAGGAAGCTCTAGGCTTGGAGGCCAGATCTCCTGGCAGCTGCACTACCTATGCCTCTGCCCAGCGACCCAGGCTGGGTCCTCTGGCTCTGGACAGAAGGTCTGTGGGGCAGCTTGGCAGGCTGGTTCCGAGCTTCCCCCCTCCCATCTGCAGGCTCAGTCCCAGTGTCCACAGTCTCTCCTTGAGCCCACACAAGGCTCTACCCCACAGATCTCAACACACTGAAATCTGACCCTAGCATCTCAACCCTCTGTGATTCTCTAATCATACAGTCAAAAGAACATTTTCAGATTTATTAGAGGTTCTTCAAAATTAGATTGTACATACATCCCCAAAGAGGTAAAGTGCTCTGCCACTGAGCCACAACCACAGCACCCCTAGGACAGTATTCTAATCTGGATCCAGCAAGTGACTATTTAGGTCCMTGCCTCCCATGGCTGTCCACAGCTGCACTGTGGCTGTCTGTAGGTGCTTCTTCTTTTGACCTGGCCAGTCATATCTGGCCTATTCTTTGAGGCCATTTCCAAGAGCCACTGTAGTTTTCTCCTTAATCCTTGCAGAAGGACGAAATCTTTTCTTTTGCTCTTAAGAAAATCAAACTAGTGGCTTAGAGTATAGCTCAGTGGTAGAGTGCTTGCCTAGAAAGTGCAAGGCCCTGGACTCAATCCCTATTATGAAACAAGCAAGTGCAACTCAGGTATGTGCAGCACCTCCAGCGAGGACCTCGATGCCCCCGGCAGCACTCACCGCAGCTCCTGCTGGGGTGTGAATGTGCACAACACACTTAACATCTGGCCGTGCAGCATAGATTGCAGAATGCAATGTGAAGCCAGCTTGGTTCACTCCTAGGTTAGTACTTCCACGATCCACAATATCTCCTTGTAGATTTATCTTAACCTGAAATAAAAGAAACAAAAATTTTAAATGTCAAGTGAACTTGAATTTTTTTTTTTTTTTTTTTGTATCATGGATTGAATCCAGGGACATGTGAGCACTAAGCCACATCCCCGGCCCTTTTTTTCTTATTTAAGACAAGGTCCTGCTAAGTTGGTTAGGGCCTCACTGCGCTCCTGAGGCTAGCTTTGAACTCATGATCCCCCTGCCTCAGCCTCCCAAGTTGCCAGGATTACAGGTGTGCACCACCACGCCTGGCAACTGTAAAATGTTTAAAACCCAAGTTCAAAGAGCCTCCAACTTCTCTCAAAGCTTGTTCTCTAACTGAATTAATCAGTTCTATATGTCGACTGGATTCTCCCACTCCTTGAGTACTGTGTATGCCAACGGATTTGAAAGCACTTGAAGATTCAGCGTGATTGTTCAAACTTGGTGCAAAGGAAGACATTCTTACCAGGCTGGATGCAGTCACTTCACTGTAAAGAAGTCCAAAAGGTACAATGAGGAAGTGCTCCTGCTCCGAGTTCACTCTGGTCTGTGGGRAAATGACCGCATTAGTTCCCAAGTCCTGCTGAAAGCACCTGCATCTCTCCCAGGCACAACTCACAGCTGAGTTATGGGAGGCCCCTCGGCAGAGAGCCTACCACAAACCAAGAGGCACTGAAAGCCTTCTGGGTTTATATCACATAGTAATTGAACATAAAGTACATTAAGTGCTTCCTGGTGGCACTCATGAAAAATGATTTGTGGAGAATAACCAGTTCCACACTAGCCCTCTGATACCAGGTTATTCTACTGCAAATGGGCAAGAAGGTCACTCTCAGAGGTATAATAAGGAAAACCAAAAACCTACTTTTTAAAAGTCAAAATGGTTTTTTGTTAATACTCAAAACCTGTGGCATGATAGAAAAATGATTAAAAATTATAAATGAAAGCAATCTCTCCTTAGGGCTTCATCAGAAAAAACATCACCTCACTATTCTTTGCTCCTTCCAAAGTATGTTTCTCCAAAAAAATTCATTCACTACAGATGTGGCACTATGCACCAAGCACACACCAGACAAGGAACACAGCAGTAAAACAGAAGAGTCCTGCCCACAAGAAAATCCCATCTAACTGAGGGTAGGCTTGGGCACATCCTAATGGGGTCTGCTCCATTTATCACTCAGCAATTCTTGCTGGGAGCCTATGTTGTGGGCACCATGATACTGCAATAACCACCAAAAGACCTGGACAGACCTACTGATCAGGCAGTCCTGCCACTGAGCAGAATCGCCTTGTCCCATCTCTCATGACAGTTGCTGGTGTGCAACACAGAGCAAGCTCTACCTCTGACAAGTCTCAGGTATCTGAAACTATCCTTGCTTCCCTTAATGTCAYCCTCATTCTAAACTCACCTGATTCTCTCAGTAGAACGGGGTTGGTAAGGGTTCCTACTCTGGATAAATGGCATTGCCCCACCACTACTGCTCTTGGCAGCAGGAGGAACGGTGGTAAATCACGAACAATTTCTCTACACTCGGACTCAGTAATACCCATCTCCATGCAGCTCTGCTGCTCGGGGCCTGGGCTCTCTCTCTTGGGTATTTCCAAAGCATACGCATGCTTTGTGCTTGCACGTTCCCATCAATGGTGATTCAGCTGCATGTTTTATCTCTTGAAGTCAATTCTTTTCTACCTAAAAAAAGTACACTGACCTTTTTGACTATCTAAAGCAAAACAAAGCAACTGCCTTAACTTCCAAGTTGGGTCAAAACAAAATAAAAGAAGGAATTTGTTTAATTAATTGGAATAAAGAAAAAATAAGGATGGAAGAAAGAAAAACTCAATTTAGATTCTGTTGGATTATCTTAAGTTTCTATTTTGAAATCCCACATACAAGGGTATTTAGAAGGTATATGATCTTCAAATTCAAGCTGGGGGTGTCATTCAACGGTAGAGCACATAACCAGCATGTAATAAACCAGGAGTTAGGGAAAGTATATGATAATTTAAATATAATAACAAATCAAGCAGCCATGAACCCATCAATCAGCTTAAGAAATAGAATAACAACTCAGGAGCTCCATTTCTCCCAAATCTCAAAAATAACTACTATTCTGAATTATATATTAAGAATAGGCTTTCTCTTCCTTACAGTTTTCCTACATACACATTCATCTCTGCCCAGCATGATATTTAATTTCTGTTTATGAGCCTCATGCAGGTGGAAGCCTGCTCTATGYATTCTTCAGCAGTGTCTTTCCCAATGTGTTTCTCATGTCCTCCAAAACACGGCTGCAGCTTGCTCTCACAGCTGTGCAGCAGCCACTTTGTGAAATGCTACAGCTTATGCATCTATTCTCCCTTCAAGGCATGTGGCTTCAGCTTCTGCTGTATAAACCAGGCTACTATGAAAGCTCCTGCACCTGTATCCTGATGTACATGATCAAGTTTCTCCAGGGGGTAACGAGGAGGTGACACCAAGTCCCTTTCCAAAGGGCATGATGTAATGCACACTCCTGCCTGAAGCATTCAACAGTTCTGGGCTTCCACAATCATCTTTTTTTTTTTTTTTTGAAATTTAAATCTGAAGTCTGCAACATATTTCATTGTGATTTTAACTGACAATTTTCTGGTTACCAATGAGCAAYATTCCATTTTTTTTAAAGACATTTCCCTTTTTGTGAAGTTACTGTCTTACATTTTGTGTATTTTATACTGGTTTCTCCTTTTCTTATTGATAGTTCTTTATCCTGGATATTAATTTGTTAGGTATATATGGGGCAAAATCTTCCAGATTGTAAGCTTTTAAAAAATTTTTTAGTTTGCAGTATTAGGCACTCTGCCACTGAGCTACCTCCTAGACATTTTTATTTTGAGACAGGGTCTCACTAAGTTGCCCACGCTGGCTTCAAACTTGTGATCCACTTGCCTCAGTTACTCAAGCAGCTGGGATTGTAGGTGTGCACCACTGCACCGACCTAGGCTATAACTTTTTTTTTTTTTTTTTAAATCAGGAATCAAACCATGCAAATTTTAGAAACATGCTGAAAGGGTTCACTTTTTAAAAAACATAGTTATTTTAAATCATTTTTTCCTTTGTCTACGTGTATACATATTCTCACACTGCTGTAAACAATAGACATATTTTATATTTTCTCATTTCTAATAATGTTTTATTTGTCATGTACCATGTAAGTTTATTTTTCACAGAATATAATGTTCTCTCAAACTGATGTTGGGTAACTAAGCCATGGGGCTGGAGTTGTAACTCAGTGTCCCAGCACTTGCCTAGMATGTGTGAGGAACTGGGTTTGAGCCTCAGCACCACATAAAAATAAAAAGATAAAATAAAGGCATTGTGTCCATCTATAACTAAAAAATATTTTTAAAAAAATAACTAAGCCATTTTCTATTGTTGGATAATTTTTCATTGCTATAAATAATGCTATATTTAATACATTTGTACATAATGTTTTACTTTGACTCATTTCCTCCTGACACACTTCCATTTGTGAGCTTAGCAGATCTCTAAAATACAATTCTCTGAGTCTGAAGCAAAAAGGAGAAAGTGCAAAATACAGACACCCCCAGCTATGGACCACAAGGAGTCCACCATGCTAGCTGGGCCACCCTGGCTTGCCCCTCCTCTACCCAAAGGCTCTAAATCCAACACCATCTCACAACAAAGACCTAGTCTAGACCTTCCAATCCAGTCCTCTGAGACCTGTCAGCACTTTAAATCCCTTGAGTGGAAAATCCCCCTGACCTGCTTTCAAGAAAGGGTGGAACGACCTATTGGCCCATTTTGTTGCACTGATAAACTTAATTAATATTTCTTTTTTTTGTATTTTTATTGATTTTTTAAAAATAAATGACAGCAGAATGCATTATTAATTAATATTTCTTTTCTATCAAGTATCTATACGACAATACTTAGTAAAACAAAAAATGGAAGCCACAAATAATCAAACAAAAAAATAAAAACTATATATATATATATATATATATTTTTTTTTTTTTTTAATCTCTCTTCCTCAAAAACTATAGTTCTAGTTCACAAGATTTAGAAAATATTTTTGGTAACTTGGATTTCTTTTCATTCAGCATTAAGACCCAAGTGACCATTCACAGGAGACTAAAACACTTAACTATAATGTTTTAATTCTATCAATTCCTAAACAATTAAAGGAAAAAACACGTAATTTACATGAGTCAGATTTACTTAAATATAGCGTTATAAAAGGACTAGTGGTAGACAGCATTTTAAAAATCTGCAAAGAATGTGAAGCTTTTATTAAAGCCATGGATTACATTTCCTATTACAGCTGGAAACATTTCCACAGAACTAGTTTTTAGGCAACTATCCAGCACTGAGTCTCCACTAGAGCATCCTGTCAAGCATGATGACCAGAGGCCAGCAACTTTCCAGCAGACACCAGGGAGCCCACAATGTGCTGGCTGACTGGATTACTGAGCAAAAAACAAAAGGCCTAGCAGCTCTTGCTTGTCATTTTACTGAGGTAATTTCGGCTCAGTGGGGCTGTCATTCCATTGATCACCCCACAGGTACTAATGGCGTGGATCCTATGCAGGCACCATTCTTGATACTGGGCCACAGCAGGGACCAGGATTGTACCACCCCTTAGAGACCTGACACTGCTGTGGGTGGAGCCAATCAACAAGGAAGTTCACAGAGGGAAGGCCACTGCTATGGGAAGCCGAGCACCATACCATGTAAGTGCAGCACATGGGCAGGACAGGAGCAGCCTGCATTTTGTAATTGTCAAGTTCACATTAAACAATGAGAATGAATAAGAGAGGGGGCAACTCAGGAGCCCTGCCTGAGATCAATGTCCAGTCTCAGACACCCAGCACACTGGCCACAAGGGTGGGCTCTAGACTATCAGCTCAGGGGGTTGGACAGTCCTTCAAGTCCAGAAGATAACTTAACCAAGCACCACTGGGCACGAGTCCATGTGCAGAAAACCATCCTTTGGGAGTGTGTGTGTGAGTATGAGTGTGTGAGCATGGGAGTGTGTACATGTGTGAGTGTGTACATGTGTGAGTGCATGCATGTGTGTGTGCGTGCGAGTGCATGCATGTGTGCCAGTGTGCGTGAGTGTAAGAGAGAGAAAAGGACTAAACAATCTAAGTGGCCCTCCTAAGAGAGATGTTACAACAGTAGGTACTGTATTAATAATTTTAAATATCCAATAAAGGAAATTAAATGGAAACATACACACACACACACACACACACACACACACACACACACACGACTGCAAAAGTTTAAAAACCAACCCAAAGAAGCAGTTCAGAGAAAAAAGCCATCTCTATAAAAGAACAACAACACTAACAAGACACCTGCTGATGCCTGAACAATGTAAAAGGGCAGGAGCAGATGAGGTGCCAAGCCAGGAGAGGAAGTCTGATCAGAGGCAGGGCCCTGGGAGAGGCCGCCAGGAGGACACAATGGCAAAGCATCCCATTTTTTCTGTGGCATAATGAGGTCATTTGCTGGGGGGCAGGTCTGGAGCTCTGAAGATAGCAGAAAGCCAATGGGTTCTGTGATGAGACTCTACAGTAGGATCTGGCTGCAGAGATGCAGGAGCAGCAAGTAGCACAAGATTGAAATGATGGACCATGAAAGAAAGATGGACAAAAGCAAGCAAATAAGGGCTGATGGTTAGAACGAAAAAGGAACCACCCACCAGGGTTAGACTCCTCATTCACTGACATAATTCAAATTAGAACAAGGCCTGGTACAAGAAAGTAGATATCCAGTAATATTTGTTACAAGAACGTACTGAAGAAAAGAAATGGACTTATTATATTGGAAAAATAAAGCTTAAAACTGGAGCAGGTGAAGAGATAAGTATGAAAAAGAGAAGACCTTGATCTGATTTGGAAGGAAATTTTAAGTATAAAAAGATTTTTAGGAAATGCCTATAATTTGGTAAACACTCATTTATTAGGTTACCAGGCAAGAAAGAAATTTTGAAAAACAGCTATCCTCATAACTTCTGACTTGCCAATTCTCAAGATCATTCTTCTTTAGTCCAGCATCTGAAGAGAAAGGATTGTAAGGCTGCTTCCCTCTCCTGACTGCAGGGGCTGGTGCCAGACGTGGGCCATTCCACTCCTGCTCATCGCCTGCCCCGTGTGACACTCACCGTGATGTGATTGTAGATGAGCTGGGACCACCCAAAGAGATCTGCCAGCCTGTAAAACGCTGCCAGTTTACATCGCAGCAGTTTCTCCCCTTTGTCATAAGCAATGGAGTCCGAGCCTCTGAGGTCATTCACAGGAGTCACCATACCAAGACCTGGAATGAAGAAAAACAATACTCAAATATTAGTGTTTCCTATCAAATTTAAACCAAATAACGTAAGTTCTGAGAACGTAAGTTCTGAGATGTTTATCTTCCACATTCATTCATAAAGTCTCAAAAACTTCAAAGACAGAAAGACCATGCTCTTCAATATTAATCACTATAAGTAAGATAGAAGTACAGAGAGAAAAGGAAGCCAAATCTGTAGCATGCTTAGAAGGAAACTCAGAGCACTGCTGGGCATGTAGTGCACACCTGTGATTCCAGCAACTCAGGAGGCTGAGGCAGAAGACCAAAAGTTCAAGGCCAGCTTCAACAATTTAGTGAGGCCCTGCCTCAAAATAAAAATAAAAAGGGCTGAGGCTATGGCTCAGTAGTTTAGTGCTCCTGGTTCAATCCCCATACCAAAAAAATAAAAACTAGGGAAAAAAAAAATTAAGGTTTTTGATTAGATTAGAAGCTGGTTTTAAAAGAAGATATAGAAAAGAATTAAAAATTAAAAACACATATCCTAAAAAGTCCTATTAAGCTGAATTTACAGTTACAACCATTTCCACAAAGAGAACTCTAGGCCAGGCCAGGGCACGGTAGCACACATCTGTAATCCCAGCAGCTTGGGAGGCAGGAGAATCAGTAGTTCAAAGCCAGCCTCTGTAACACAGGGAGGCCCTAAACAACTCAGCAAGTCTCTATCTCTAAATAAAACATTAAAAAGGGCTGGGGATGTGGCTCACTGGTTAAGTGCCCCTAGGTTCAGTCCCTGGTACCAAAAAAAAAAAAAAAAAAAAAAGAAAACTGTAGGCCTAGATGACACTATGAATTCTGTCAACCATTTAGGGAGAAATAATACCAAGTCTATACAAATTCTTCCAGAACACTTGCCACCTCGATCCATGAGGCAGCATTACCTTACTACCCAAATCACACACAGAAATCACAAGAAAAATAGATGAATGCTTTTCATAAACTTTCCTACACCAAAAAGTACTTAATATAACCTTAGCAAATAATCCAGCAGTAGATAAATGACCGGGAGCTGGGGCTATAGCTTAGGGGTAGCCTGCCTTGCATGCATGGGGCACTGGGTTTGATCTTCAGCACCACATAAATAAATAAAATAATAAAAGGTTTTGTGTCCATCTACAACTAAAAAAATTACCAAAAAAAARAAAAAAGTCATAACCAGTAGGGCTCATCTCAGAAATGCAAGGACGGCTCAGCATTCAAACAGTAGTCAGTGCACTCCCCACACCACACTGAAGAAGTCAGCCACGGGACATCTCACCAGATTCGGAAGCAGCATTCCACAGAATCCAACAATGTTCAGGATAAAAGCTCTCAGCAAATAGAAACTGAAGGATACACCCTCAACTTCAAAAAGGTTATCTACGGAAAATCCAACCTGACATACACCTGACCAGAGGCTGAACGTGCTGTGCATAAGATGAGGCACAACGCCAGGACTGAGTGCTCACCCTTGCACTGGACCCTGGACACCGTGCCAGGGTCCCCGCCACAGCAGTAGCACAAGAAGGAAAAAGGACTCAGAGAGAGGAGGAGGTCTGTTTCCCTTCGTTTTTCTTTCCTTTCTCTTTTTTCTTTTTTTTTGCTTCATCTTTGATTAGAAAACAATATGCAACTAAAAATCTATTATTATCTAATTCATACCAAATATCATTGAAACCTGTTAAAAACATGAAAATCAAAAAAAAAAAAAAAGTACCCCCGCCTTAAAAAAAAAAAAAAAAAAAAAAAAACCACACACACACGAAAACCTTGCTACAGCCATCAGACTTCAGGACAGAAGCCTCAGCTGGCCAACCAAATGCAACTCTCAGTGCTCCACAGACATTAATGGAGTACAGCTGCTGACCACCAGTCACCCGCTGAGAACACACAGAGCAGGCAGGCAACCTGTGACCTGAGAGTCAGCCAGGTCTGACTCTCCAGCTGGACTCAGTGGCAGCAACCCAGGACACCACACGCAGGGGGCCAGACTGCCTGGTCCGGCGCGTTGTGTGCATGAAGTCGGCAGCCACAGCGCACTCCCCTGAAGGCTGTTCTGCGCTCACGCTCACCAGGGCACTTCTCACTAGTTTGTAAGCAGCACTGAGAATTGGCAGGTCAGGTAAGAAATACTCATGTGTAAGAAATGCTGGCCTGGATGAAATGAATTCCGTCAAAACTGATGTGCTACACGTGAGCATGATCCCTGATTAGCCACTTTAATCCACCAAGGGCCTCCGAAGTCACATAAAGTCATGTGCCTTAGAAACAACTGAATCTTCTCAGTTTAATAGGAAAGGGGTCCTCTACATTCAAGACATTTTGGGTTCACAGCCTCATTTTCACCATAACTGACTAAAACACATTAATTTTCAAGTTACTCAACATGGGGCTGGGGACATAGCTCAGTTGGTAGACTGCTTGCCTCACATGTACAAGGCCCTGGGTTCAATCCCCCCAGTACCACCAAAAAGATAAGAACTACTCACTCATGTTTAAGGCGGCCATCCCTCCTTGTGGAGCTGCTGGATAGACATTTGGTACATTGGTGGTCATGAAATCTGCAATCTGCTGCAATGCCAATAGGCCTGTGGGGTTCTTCCCCTTTTTAAATTGTTCTTGTATCATTGACTCCAACTCTTCACAGAAAGCCTAACAAAACAAGTGAAATAACATTTCTGTGTGTTAAGAGGTGACTACTATAACATAAACCAATTTGTTTGTTTTCAGCCATTGCTGGAAAAGTAAAACAGATTCTCATACATTACTACTGGGAATATAAAAGGTACATTCTTTTCTACTAAGTTGTTTCATAAAATAAAAACTTAAAAATATAAACAGGTATTCCTAGGAATCTATTTCAAGAAAATAATCAGAATGTCCTCCAAGATTTGTTCATAAAAACATGCATTTCAGCACTACTTTCTTTTTTTTTTTTTTTTTAAAGAGAGAGTGAGAGAGGAGAGAGAGAGAAAGAGAGAGAGAGAATTTTTTAATATTTATTTTTTAGTTCTCGGCGGACACAACATCTTTGTTGGTATGTGGTGCCGAGGATCGAACCCGGGCCGCACGCATGCCAGGCGAGCGCGCTACCGCTGAGCCACATCTCCAGCCCAGCACTACTTTCAAAACACAAGAACAGGGTCTGGGTGCTCAGAGGTAGAACACTTGCCTGGCATGTCTAAAGCCTGGGTTCAATCCCCAATATAGAAAGGGGAAAAAAAGAGAGAAAGTTACCCTCCATTTCTAACAACAGAGGACCGAGTAGATTCCCTGAGAACTTTATGTACACATTCAAAAGCTGTAAAAACTTAAGGGCAGATAATGGCTCTTGGTGTATTTTTGAGTCAAAATGGTCATAAAGCAATATAACCAGTTTCTGTAAGAGTAAAATATATATCTAAACAGAAAAGACTACAAGTAAATTCATTAAAAACATTAATTGTAATTCTCTTAGTGACAGAATTACTAGTAATTTTCATATTCTATTTTGTGCTTTCCAGTATTTTCTCCAAAATGCTTCCAAAATTACTTTTTTAAAGTGGAAAAAGGAACCCTAATGTATACATCCTTTACCAAATATTAAATTACTCAAAAAGGTTCCATTGGATTGATGGTCCTTGTAATATAAAGTCACTATTGTAACAGCAGATATTTCATAGTTTCCGTAAACTTAATTAATACAATTTTTCATGTAGTCTATAAAGAAACACTCATCTTCTTATCAGAGAGTTGTAAGTGGTATCCACTATGAAAACGTGAGCGTCCTGATGATGACCCACTCATAATCGTAAGTACTCTAGGGACCTGATGATCCCCCATTCAACTAACTTCTTCTTCTTCATTGCTTGAACTGGGAATATCAGTGGAAAACTGCCAAGGACAGCCTGGGGATGTGGGCAACAAAAAATCCACTGCTAGTAATTCAGCAGTAGAAGTAGGTGTCACCCCAGAGCCCACTAAAGAGCTAGTCAACATGGGGCACACCTGTAATCCCAGCAACTCAGGAGGCTAAGGCAGGAGGATGGCAAGTTTGAGGCCTTCACTAAAAAAAAAAAAAAATTGTTTTAAAGTCTGGATGAATGGGCTGGGGTTGTGGTTCAGGGGTAGAGAGCTTGCCTATCATACAACTGGGTTCAATACTCAGCATCACATAAAAATAAAATAAAGAGGGGCTATGGTTGTGGCTCAGAGGTAGAGCACTTGCCTAGCACAAGTGCAGTGTGGTTCAATCCTTAGCACCACATATAAATAAAAAAAAATAAAATAAAGGTACTGTGTCCAATTGTGTCCAACTACAACTAAAAAATATTTTTTAAAAAAAGATATCGTGTCCATCTACAACTAAAAAATATACATATATTTTTTTTAAAAAGGCCTAGGTGTAGTTCAATGGTAAAGCACTCCAGGGTTCAATCCCCAGTACTTAGAAAAAAGAAAAAAGAAAAAGAGCCCTCTCAAGAACCCCTACCTACCACCACATCATGATACGTAATATCACAGATCATACTCTGTGGTGGTCAATAAGGGAGGGAAAACCAACCAAGAAATAAATCATCAGAACATAGTCAATGGACAGCTGCAGGGGTGCACACCAGCAACTCAGGAAGCTGAGGCAGGAGGATCTCAAATTCAAGGCCAGCCTGGGCAATTCAGCAAGATCCTGGCTCAAAATAAATTCCAGAAAAGGCTAGGGGTGTAGCTCAGTGGTACAGCACCCCTGGGTTCAATCCACAGAACCAAGAAAAAATAAATGAGAGAGATACAGTTGCCTCTAGSAGGTGAGCAATGCTGGCCACAGGGGGTGCGAGAGCCTTGAAGGAACAGGCCCTCTGCGCTCAGGGCCCTCAGGCTGAACACTCACCCAACCCATCTCAGTAGTTTCCAAATCCACTTACACCACTATGAACAGACTAAGGACAAACTTTAGATAAGAATTCCAAACCTTAGTGAAGAAAACAAAAGGGAAAAGGTACAGTGCAGAGGCCCTGTGCATCCACAGCACAAACGGCCAGGGGCTAGCTGGGCGATGACCAGGAGTCCTGGAGGTCCCCCCTGCACCCGGCACCCACCCCCACAGCAGGCACAGCCGAGCCCTCGCCCTGATCCTGTGGTCTCAACTCCCAATAGCTCAGTCTCCTTAGTGCTGCCTCTCCGCCTCCAGATCCCCCCTCCTCCAGCCCACCTCAGCCCCCAATCCCATGGCCACACCTCAGGCCTTGTCATTCCTGGTAACTATGCCCCTCTTGGATCCCGAGGCCATCCTRCGGATATGTCCACTCCTAGCAGCCAACTCATCTTTCTTCCATCCCATCATGAGCCTCACCTTCCGTGTCCTGACCTCACCTAGCTTAGACCTAATAAAGTCATTTCTCCAACTTCTTACCATTTCATGTGGAAAAATCTCAACTCTCCTTCCCTCTCCTGGTGCTGGGCAAARGGGCTGGGGCAGGCAGGAATGAAGACGGGCCACATAGCTGCTCTGCGCTCTCTGACCCAAGTCTATGGCCTCTTGCTCGGTCCCCATCTGCAATAACCCAGGCCATTCTTGACTCTCCTGGCCCTTTGCCCCACTCCTCTTCATGCCCTCTCTCTCCTGCAGTCTCCTGTGCCACTCCCTGTGCCCATTCTCAGCAGGTGATCCTACCTATTTTAGGAGAAACCTCACAAGCTCCTGCCCCACTCGCCTCCCCCTCTTCACTGGGCTGAGACCCACCCTCCGCTTGCACTCTGGCTCCCATGCCATCTGGCCCATCAAAGGGCAAGACATCTGCAGTCCCCCTCTCCTGTGCCATGGCTTTTCCCTCTCCCCTGGACAGCTCCTTCAGTGTGCAAATGCACTGTCATTTCACCCACCTGACCACGAAGACTTCTTCAGTCCCACACCCCCTCCAGCTACTGCCTCGCTTCTGTGCTCCCTTTTAGCAAAAGGCTTCATAGAACTGTCCAGCTCTACAGTCCAAATTCTCTCCTCACACCCTCTGGGGTCCAGGGGCTCTGCCTTTCTCACCTGCAGCTCACCAAATTACCCAAGACCAACACCAGGCTCTGCAGGACTCCACCCAGCCACCTCTCCAGCCTCTGCAGAGACTCCCTGCACAGGGCTTCTCCTGGTTTTCTTCCCACGCCACTGGCTGCTCCTTCTCAGATTCTTCTGCTAGTTCTTGCCCATCTCCCAGAGCACAGCCCTCAGTCCTCTCCTCTGCCAGCACTCCTCCCTTGATGAGCTCCTCTGCCCACACAGTGTGCTGAGGGCTCCCACGCTGGCTTCTTTGCCTAGATCTCTCMCCGAACTTCAGGCTTAAAATCCCACTCCTACAAAAGCTCTCCACGTGGGAATGCTGAGATGGGGACTTCTTCTCCCCAGTCTTAGAAATGCTCATTTCCATGTTTCTAGCTGCTCAGGCCCAAAACCCCACCACGTCAGACAGTCTAAGAGCTTTACACATAACACCCACTTGACCCCTGTCACAATTCTAAAGGAGCTACTTTACAGATGGAAAACTGAGGTATGGAAAAACTTGGAAACTTGGCCAAAGTTACAGTACTACCAAATGATGAAGCCAAGATATGCACTCAGACTCTAGGTGGTAAAAACCATCCAAATCTATCTTTCCTTCCTCCCTCTGTATCAACAAATGGGGCGGAGAAAATTCTAACAGGTATACTCTGAAAACATCAGTTTTATCCCTAGCRTTATCACAGCGCTTGGTGTGCACACAGTTCTTAATTCTCTGAGGAGTGAATGAGAAAAGAAAGTTCCCCTTTCTGCTGTCTGAAATAGTGTCATGCCAAGGATATGTGGAAGAACAAGCAACGGCAGAACCTCTCAGCCAGTGGTTGGTGAGAGCCAGTCCTGCAGGTGTTCCATTATGGACCGGAGTCAGAAACAGCTCATAGAAAGGAGGGCCTGCTCCCCCTGAGCGAGACTTCACAGGGATGCCAGAGGGAAATAGAGAGAGGCAGAAGAAGGACATTCGGGGAAGAACATGTGCAAAGACATGTAGCAGCTAGCTAAATGTCACCTGGAACTGCTAGTGGTGAAGTTCCAGGGGAAAACAGAGAGACTATAGAGGTGAACAAGATACATTCTGGTTGACCCCATCGGGTTGCCAATTTAATGCAGTTAAATGTGATGTTGAAAATGATTTTCTAAATGGGCCAAGGACCTGAAGAGACACTTCTCAGAAGGTGATGTACAATCAATCAACAAATACATGAAAAAATGTTCATCACCTCTAATAGTTAAAGAAATGCAAATCAAAACCACTCTAAGATTTCATCTCACCTCAGTTAGAATGGCAGCTATTATGAGGACAAACAACAATAAGTGTTGGCGAGGATGTGGGGTAAARGGTACACTCATACACTGCTGGTGGGACTGCAAATTGATGCAGCCAATTTAGAAAGCAGTATGGAGATTTATTGGAAAATTGGAAATGGAACCACCATTTGACCCAGCTATCCCTCTCCTCGGTCTGTACCCAAAGGACTTAAAAATAGCACATGGGACACAGCCACATCAATGTTTATAGCAGCACAAGTCACAATTACTAAACTGTGAAACCAACCTAAATGCCCTTCAATAGATGATGGATTAAAAAAAATGTGGCATATATACACAATGGAATATTACTCAGCAATAAAAGAGAATAAAATCATGGCATTTGCAGGTAAATGGATGGAGTCAG